CAAGACCGAGAGTACTCGCGAATAGTACTAAATTGTTTTCTTTTGGAGACTTTAAGTTGTATCATAGCAGACGACTATAGTACATATTCTTTTGAGTTGTATTAAACTTGAAGGTTAACTAATTGTGTTTTGGAGTTCTTTCAATGTATATTGAAAATATTTGAAATATTTCTAGTTTTGAATTACGGATTGTAGTGAGCCCCGGCGAGAGTTGGGCAGGCGTTCCGCGGATACCCTTAGGTTTGCCCTTGGGAGAAGTGGGGGCGTCACAGGATCAACCATTTTCTGTCATCATGGGAAATGGAACCTATGTCACCAATAATGCTATATGCAATGGTGTGCACTGGAGGATTAACCAACACAACTTCCAGTATAACCTCAAAGTAATGGAAATTGGAGGGTGGGACATAATCTTGGGAGTGGATTAGATGACACATTTCAGTCCCATTGCATTCGATTTTCAACAACTCAGGATATCACTGCACCATGAGGGAGATGAAATTCACCTGCACGGCCAAGCAGACAACTGTGATATGGACTTAATCAGAGGCAAAGACTTAAGGACATTTATTGAATACAAGAGACAGATGTGCATGGCTATGAATTCTCCACAGGATAAAGAAGAGGAGTTAGATCCTACACCACAGGAAATTGAAGAACTGCTACAAGAATATAAGAATGTATTCCAGACTCCAAAATCATTACCTCCAAGTAGAAGTATAGACCATGAGATACCTCTAAAACCAAAGGCTCAACCATTAAAACTGAAACCTTATAGGTACCCTCACTGCCATAAGAATGAAATAGAGAGACAGGTAGCTGAAATGCTGCAGAAGGGCATTGTTAAGCACAGTAACAGCCCATTTGCTTCTCCTGTGTTGCTGATCAAGAAGAAGGAAGGCACCTGGAGGTTTTGTGTGGACTGCAGAAAGCTGAATGAGATCACTGTCAAGGACAGGTTTCCAATACCTAATGTAGATGAGCTGCTAGATGAATTATCAGGATCTGTGTTTAAAACCAAGCTAGATTTGACTGCAGGATACCATCAAATCAGAGTAAAGCCACAGGACACCTTTAAAACAGTCTTCTAGACTCATTGTGGCCATCACAAATGCCCCTACAACTTTTCAATCCCTGATGAACCAAGTATTCCAGCCTTACCTGAGGAAGTTTGTCCTAATTTTCTTTGATGACATACTGGTGTATAGTCCTACACTGGAAGATCATGCTCAACACCTAAGAACTGTACTGGGAATTCTGAGGGATCATCAACTATATGTGAAGAGGTTTAAATGTGCATTTGCTCAGAAGCAAATAGATTACCTGGGACACACCATTACTGACAAGGGGGTCAGCATGGATGGCTCTAAGGTTAGTAGTATCTTACAATGGCCCGTACCACAATCTGTTAAGGAGTTTAGAGGGTTTTTGGGACTTACTGACTACTATAAGAGGTTCATAAACTAGTATGGACTTGTATGTAAGCCACTTACTGAGTTACTTAGAAAGGATAATTTCAAGTGGAACACACAGGCTCAATCTGCATTTGATCTTCTAAAACAGCTCATGTGCTCAGCTCCTGTTCTTAAGCTGCCAGATTTCAAGAAAGCCTTTGTGGTGGAAACAGATGCAAGTGGAGGAGGCATTGAGGCAGTTTTAATGCAGGAAGGACACCTTATAGCCTTTCTGAGCAAGGCACTGTCAACAAGGAATCTAGGCTTATCAGTATATGAAAAAGAACTACTTGCTCTGGTCATGGCAGTCACAAAATGGAGACATTATTTGGTTGGCAATCACTTTATCATCAGAACTGATCACCAAGCATTGAAGTATTTGCTAGACCAAAAATTGAACACTGCTCTTCAGCATAAGTGGATAACCAAGCTGATGGGGTTGGACTATGAGATACAGTACAAGAAGGGAACTGAGAATCAAGTGGCAGATGCATTGTCAAGAAGGCATGAGAATGCCTCCAACCTTTCCTTTACTTCTTGTCTAGCCATTACTGCTGTTAGACCTGGATGGCTTGAAGAATTGCAGAAAAGCTATGAGACTGATGCACAGTGCCAAGAGATCATAGCTCAGTTAGCACTGGATCCTAGTTCCCATTCTGACTATACTTGGATAGATGGAGTACTCAGACACCAAGGGAAGATTTACATTGGAAATGCTAATAACATTAGAAATTAGATCATCCAAGTTCTCCATGCTTCAGCACTAGGAGGACATTCTGGACAAAGAAACTGTTGGCAGAAAGTTAAGAGTTTGTTTTACCGGCCAAGAATGAAGCAAGAGGTGGTGTCATTCATCCAGAACTGTGACACATGCCAGAGGAATAAATCTGAGCATGTCCTTTACCCTGGGTTGCTGCAACCAATCACCATTCCTAAACAAGCTTGGTCCCATATATCTATGGACTTCATTGAGAGACTACCCAAATCACAGGGTTATGATACTATATTGGTAGTCATTGACAGGTTCACTAAGTTTGGCCACTTTACCATGCCCACTCATCCTTTCACAGCTAGGACAGTAGCTCAAGCCTTCCTGGACAACATATACAAAATGCATGGACTGCCAGAGTCCATAATTACTGACAGAGATAAAATATTTACTAGTGGATTCTGGAGGGAGCTGCTCAAGGTGATTGGGACAGAATTACATTACTCATCTTCTTACCACCCTCAATCTGATGGATAAAGTGAACGACTCAACTAGTGTGTGGAGAACTATCTCAGATGCATGACTGGGGAAATGCCTTCTCAGTGGAGCAAATGGATGGCACTGGCAGAGTGGTGGTAGAACTCTACCTATCACTCCAGCATTAGTATGACTCCTTTTGAGGCATTGTTTGGATAAAAATCAGTACCCTTACCTCTAGGGCCTTATCTAGACTCAGTAGTTCCTGCAACGTCTAACATGATCCAAGAAAGGAACAAGATTTCCAATTGCTTTAGGGATAACTTAGTCAAGGCTCAGCACAGGATGAAGTATTTTGCTGATCAGCATAGGACTGAGAGGAAATTTGCTGTGGGGGATTGGGTGTTTCTGAAGCTGCAGCCATACAGACAACATACGGTGGCAGTTAGGAAGTGCCTTAAGCTATCAACCAAGTATTTTGGTCCATTCCAATTGGAAAAGAAGATTGGTTCAGTAGCCTACAAGTTGAAGTTACCAGCAGGCACCAAATCACACCATGTGTTCCATGTGTCATTGCTTAAGAAGAAGTTGGGACCTATGCAAGGTAGTTCAACCAAGCTGCCAAAGTTAGACACTCAAGATCAATGTCGTTTGCAACCAGAAATCATCTTGCGAAGAAGGGTCATTATGCGAGAAGGTCAACCTATTGTGCAATATTTGATCAAATGGAACCAACTGGACTATGAAGAAGCATCATGGGAGGATAAATCTTTCATTGAGAATCAGTTTCCTACGTTCCAGACTTGAGGACAATTCTGATTTTAATAGAAAGGAATTGTTAGGACAAGAATTAGTTGTAATAAATGCCCTAATTGGGATTAATCCAGTAGAGGCCTAAACGATGTGGTTTTGGGTTATTGAATTAATAGTTAGTTAAGTCGGTTAAATAGCAATTGCTGATTGTGTGGATTGGTTATAAAAGTGGGTCCCACCCATGTGTAAAAACAGAATTCTGGTAATAACATTTCAACTTCATTTCCCCTCCCTCAATTCCCTCTCTACTCTCTCTTCTTTGACTCCTCAATTCTTCTCTCTCATCCTATCAATTCCCAATTTTCCCTCATTCATCAATTTGAGTTTAGCAATTGAATCTGAGTTCCTGACAGACAGGTGTCACCAATATCTAACATGTGTTAACCAATGGTGACATGTGTCACACAACAAGACACATGTCATGTTCTCCCCATGACAAGTGTCGCAGCATTACCTTTCCTAATACCAACTCATCCCTCTTCCTTGATAGATGTTATCGTCACATCAATTCAAGTGTTGATTAATTTTCTCCAAGGAAACCTATAAATAGCCCTCCATCTCGTTGTATGTTAATATTTTGGGAACACTCACATATACTCGTAGGAGAGGGCAAAGAGAGCGACTTAGAAAGGAAAAAAATTAAGGCAATGGATGTTCTACAAGACAAGAAAAGAAAGGCATAGCCTTGAGATACTGTAGGAAAAAAGATCAAAGCCAAGCTAAAGTCTAGAATATCCAATTGAGTGCCTTTTTGCATTCATGTAGTTATAATATTGTATTCATATAGACGTTATAATGCTCAATTTTTTGTCATCCTATGAACGTATAGTTTTAGTTCTACACACTACAACAAAAATGACCTTTAACGGCATTTAAAGGTGTCAGTATAGATAATCTAACCTGACACTTTACCTTTCCTCACACCTCGGACGAGTGTCGTCCCTTCCAATGTAGGGATAGGTATGTAGTATTCAAATGTGTCAGAAAAACTATGCTGTTATAACATCTCATCTGCCAACGAAAATTCCTTTTCTTGATAATCGAAAGTGTCAGGATAGCGATAGTTAGTAATAAGTAGGAGTTTTTTTAACGGAGCTATGCTGACACTTTTAACTGCCAGGAGTTTTTTTTTTTTTTTTTGATATAGAAGCAACCTGCGGGTAGTGCTCCCTGCTATACATTCCGTCAATCAAAAAACCCAAAGGACTTGTAAAATTATCCCAAAGAACAGAATGCATATAGTAATCTAAAAGCAAAAGTCAATGCTCAAATATAATTTGTTGAACTAAAAGTCAATAACAAGTACAAACTTGAAAGATTCCCTAACAAGTATAATTTGTTGAACTAAAAGTCAGGTAACGTAATTGTACAACATTAGCAACGATTCGCGAGAGGTATAGTAAATATATATAGTACATTGTTTGGGCGCCTATAAAGCAGGATATTAAAACCGAGCAACCCATACCGTCAGCGAACTAATCAAAGTGAAGTCAGCTCCATGAATTTATGTCTAATGTGATAATTGTCTGCACCAGTAAAGTACTTTATGGGCATTTTCTTTGAACATTAGAAGCTCCATGTTCCTCAAACCTGTTAATCGAGAGATAAAACAGACTGAAAATAGGGAGAAAAAAAGGAGAAAAGTTGAATATTGAAAGGTAGAGTAGATGTAAAAGCTTACTCAGATTTTGAAAACCACATTTGCTGAAAGGAACCAAGTGACGCCAATATACTCCCACCTATCCAAACAGTGAATGCAACAAGTTAGTCGACGCGCAGCATACTGAGATGCATCTAAAGCAATGTAGCTTCTAAATGGAAAGAAATGTCCACTTCAATCATAAAGCAGAAGCAAATTGGTCTAAATATGCAACTTTGGAGGAAGCACCGAGGCACATCTAGACTATATCGTAAGTAAACATATCAAATACTGTAAATTTTTGTATTTGGAGAAATCCAGCAATTTGCTAACTATAACAAAGTTAATTCTCCTAAAACATCATTTAAATATTACATGCAAAATTATTGCATAAATTTGCCCTGTAAATTGTATTCTTCCCCATTCAAATTCTCTTACCTTTCATTTTTAAACATCCCCAAATAAAAATTCAGAAAAAATCAAAGCATATAGTTTTGAGAGGGCTTTCGACTTTCTGAGAAACTGATGGACCATTTCTCAAGTTGGAGAAGAAAAGCTCATGAAGAATATATATGCAATTAGCACAAAGAAATTAGTCCGAAATGAAGATCATAACAAGGTGAATGTAAAGAGATGTAGAGTGACAACTAGATACCATTTTCAAATAGAAACTCAACTTTTTCAGGAGAACCACGTAATCTCCTTGCAGTAATTTGCAAAAGAGCACCATCTATAAGCATGTGTTGTACCACTCTTGCAATATTTTTGGTATCATCAATTCCAAGATGGTGACTTCCTAGCAGCGGAATTTGGAGTTCCCTCATCATTGAACCATTCCTGGAGCCTGACAATCAAAAAGTTTATCACTACAATCTGAGAAGTTTAACACAACTTGGTCTAATCGACAGCAGCTGCAAACGAGCATTGGGCTAAGATGAAACACTCTATAAAATGCATAAACTCACAGACCAATCTCACACTAATGCAACGTACTCTGAAAGTAGATTGTACAGTAACATGGTGGTCACACAACTAAATCATGCCAACCTATGGTTCACAAAGTGTAATCAACTCAGCTGAATCCAAAGGGAATCATTTCGGAATCAGAAATGTGTAAGTACAGCAAACTCACCCTTCACTTGCCAAAGAGAGATCAAATTAAAGAAAAAGGCTAACATTCAATAGTCAGTCATTAAATACATATTGTATAAACAATATCTCACCCTTAGTTCCACATGGGAAAGATAAGGCCTCCTCTCTGTGTCATGAGAAAATCGAACTTTTCCCTTTTTCTCTCCTGACTTCATCCATTCCTTATTAACATTGGGATGAATCCACATATCTTCCATGTCTTCTTTCGAAGTTCTGGAGTCCCAAGTTGTATTCAATGGACCTGCTGCCTCATGTATAAACACACAAAATTTATCTTTCAGCACAAAGTATTATCATAGTTACAGAAAATGTACACCAATTAAGTGACAATGAAGTTTTTACATTTCAATACGGTTTCTTAAGCAATGTACTGAGTAACATAATTACTTGGGTATATGATGACAAGCAAACAGAGCATACTGCCCCCACGTAGATGTTATTTTTTTCTACTGCAAGATTTAGAGGAAATAAAGTCTGCTATTAAACTGAAAGACTACTTGGTTGTGTTTGGATAATAATATTTCGTAGTTAAGTTAGATAGGAGCTTACAACATCACAATAATAATTTCTTTAGCACGAGTAATGAGTTGCTTGCTTAGTAAAAGGGAAAAATACAAGTGATAAATTTCTCAATAGAAAAAATCTGAACAAAAAAAAATAATTCCCTCGAAAAAGTTGAAGGTAGCATGGCAATATCAAATTGTCATCCATGATCCATCCACTATAATAAGGAATAAGGGTATTTGGAGGCATATGAAAGTGATGGGCTCATTGCTTCTGAACCTTTACAATTGGGTACTATTTACGTATAATTGCTGCATACCTTTCCCTCACAATTGGGCATTGGTTCCAGGGAATTTGATTCGTGTCCCTGTTTTCTTCAAGAAGAATTACGCTCTTTCCTTGTCTTTACTTTCTCATCCCTTTATTCGCTTCCTTGCAAATTTTCTTCTTTCTTCATTCGAACCTTCCGACAAATAGGTAGTGAGCATGAAAAGTTTTGAAATTTCTTTTTCATCAATTCCTTATACGGCCTGAGCTTGATTTTAAATCTAAAGCTCTACTCAAACCTATGATCAATTCCAGCCACTTAAAATCGATTAACAAGATGAAAGTAAAGCATAACCGACATGATTGCAGACAAAGAAGAAAACAATACAATTAAGGGGGAAAATAGGTACAAGAGTGTGGGAAACTTTACAGTGATGATTTCCGCTGTAGTGGCTGGACTGCAGTGAGATGATAGCGGCAACCTTCGCCTACTCTACTCCTCGGCACGCTCAACCTGAATATCTAGTCAGTAAGGAGAAGCATGGGGATGGGTTTCAGAGGAAAGAAGAAAAAGGAAAGAGCACGAGTATCTATTTTCTTATTCTTTTTGTCCTAGCAAAGAGAGCGAAGGCTTATTGGTGCAGGTGTCGTGGTTGACCGAACAAGGTAGAGAAGCGGCCGAGTTAGCAACTGAAAATAGGGGGTAGGGTGGCGGCGAAGGCGGAAGACGGAAGAACCAAAATGGGGGAGTTTTGAGAGAGAGTTTGCCGAGAGAGAGAGTTTGTGAGAGAGATGAGAAGAACCAAAATTTCGCTGGCTTGCAAAATAAAATTTTTGAAATTTCACCAAGTGTTTTGGCGAAGGAATCTTCCGCCAAAATCAAACAACATCATTTTATGTTTTAATTTTTTTGGTGTATCTCACATTTTTTTCAAGTGTCATGATAGGGAATCTAAAGACACATTATTATTTTTATATCAGATAAAATAAAACAAAATTAAAGTATATATTATTGAATTAATAATAAGTGTCATGATAGAAGTGCTATAATGACAAAAACCAGCAAGTGTCCTTTTAGGCGTGTCAGGAAAAGCCATTTTTGTTGTAGTGACATTCCATGTAGCTGTTATGCTGGATCTGGACTAGGTGAAAATAAGAATTGATATTCTTGTGTTTTTTAAATCTACTATAATACAAACTCTTATTTTGTTTAAGAGATAAATGATCATTTATGATGAATATTCTATTGTTATATTGTAAATATGATCATTTTACTTGATTAGTCGCTATTGTGTCTTGAACCGTTGAGCAACGAGGGCTATGTTGAATGTCATTGCACACACTAATTTGCAACCCACTATTTAGACGAGATTGTCCACGTATTGAGTTGGAAGTGAAAGACACTTCTTAGACTGACCTATTGATTGAGAATAGAAGGATGAACTCATGATGGTGGTATAAGGTAGAACATGATCTTCATCGGCAATTAGTGCTATATACTTATTAAGTTGTGATTTATCCGTTTTCTTACTTGTTAAATATTGTTTATGCTAGAAGTGGTGGTCTATTTCTTGGCACCATTACCTTGTGTTACCTTACCCCAAATATTAACAAAGTTTTGCAAATACTGCCTTAAAACTTGAGATGTCATATGAGTGATCTAGCAATTGTCAGAGTGGAATTTTGATGGAGCTTACATGTATTTTTTAGGAATGGAGAGATTTTTGTATGTTCTGCTGTGTATTGCACTCTTTTAAATCCATCATAAAATTGAACAAAAAGAGTTGTGTTTCAATAAATAAACTCTTGTAGCATTTGAATGAATCCTGGCTAAAGCTGGACAGTTTACTATCAATGAATCCTTACCACGGATGGAGCTGCGGTGTGACAACTGACAGGAGGAGGGCATAGAAAGGAGTACAACTAGAAGATTGCTGGAACCAAAAATATGATATGAAGGTGAAATAGCAATATAATAAAAGGTAGGATAGAGAATGGTACAGAAAGTAAGACAGAAAATCCATTGCGAAATATTGGGTATCCGGAAAAATAGTGAAAAAACATGCAATACACTGGATTTTCAAGCGATGTGGTTGGCTGGATAGTTTAGTTAAATATCCATCCATTGTTCATCTTTCAGAATTGATCATTGTCAAGCATGGCACTTAAGTTCCGCCTTTCGTGGCTTATTCTTCTGCAGTTTTTCAGCAGATTAACTCACGAGTGCAGTGGCCTAAAACTGTCAAAGAGTACAGCCCTTTTGGTTTTTGGTAATTCAGCTGTTGATACAGGCAGCACCAACTATATACCTACTATACCCAGAAGCAACTATGCTCCTTATGGCATTAATTTCACACGTCACATTCCTACCGGAAGGTATTCAGACGAAAAACTCCTTCCTGACATTTCTTGCCCACACAAGGCCTCAAAGATGTTATTCCTCCTTCTCTGCGGAGAAACTTATCCGATGATGAACTGCTTTCGGGTGTCATCGGCTGCAGCAGGATTTGATGATCAAACTAAGAGTGTTACCAATGCAATTCCAACGTCGAAGCAACCCCAATTTTTAAGGGATTACTTACCTAAGCTCGAGAGGATTGTAGGCAAAAAAGTGCTCAAAGAATTGTTCGGGAAGCTGTAGTGATCATCCATGGTGGAACTGTTGATTTCCTTTTCAACTTCTACCTTGGCCATGCTAACAGACAACTTGAGTTCACCTTAAGTGAGTACCAAAACTTTTTGTTAACCAGTCAGCAACAATTTCTTCAGGTTAGTCATGCTTCCAATCTTTTCTACGATTTGTGCACGCCCAAAAGAAATGGTTAAATTACACCAGTATTCACCAAACTATTTAAAGCCATGAAACACTTTTTTTTTTTGTGGAAATCACCCATTGAACTCTTAGATGATGCACTGGTTAATCATTTTACTAATTTTTTCTCCATTGTCTCAGACCGACATACACTATGCTGTTCTTTGTCTACCTCAGTTCTTTCTTGTAAAGGAGGCAAAATAATGGATTGACCAAAATCAAACACTTTCAGAAGTTTAATGGTTGAATTGATACACATGATACTTCCATGAATATGTGTGTCTATATATATACTTGAATCATTTGATGACTTTTGGTGCACTTTCCTTAAAGGAAATACATTTTGCGTCTGAAAAATATTTGGTGATGCAAACTACTTTTATCAGTATCAAACAGTCTACCATCTGTAGAATGTTTGCTCCATATCCTTTGTCTTATACTTTTGGTATATAAATTTATTCCACACAAGCATAAATATATTGTAAAATTTGATGATACTGATCATTTTGTCCATCAGTAAATATTCCACTATAGTTTAACCTCTGTGGTGATACAGGATTTATACGACCTCGGATGCGAAAAAATGGTGGTAGCTGGTTCAATTGGCTGTTTGCCATTAACAATGACTGTTCGTTTTTTTTAGAGGACATGTATAGAACATGTCAACTCAGATGCTTCACTTTACAATGAGGAACTGGTAAAGTTGCTGCAACAAGCACAAGCAAAACTTCAACAGAGCGAAATTCTCTACTTAGATACCTACAATCAATTGATGGACATGATTTTAAAAAATACCTGAAAGATATGGCAATGGCATGAACTTAAACTTGCTTATGTATGTGTCATCAATAACGGGTAACGGATGCCAAAATCACATGATTTAATGCACGATAGGATTCTCTGAAACTAATAGGTTCAATTCGTGAAGTCACTCAGTTGTGTAATCCCATCACCCCAGTATGTAGGACCCAATCCCAGTACTTATTCAGGGATAGCATGCATCCAACTGATGCAGCTTACTGATACGTAATTGATGATCCACTGAAGAAACTGGCCCCGATGAATTGATTTCCACTGGAAAGTTCATCTCCAGCATGGAAAAGAAGAATCTGTACATTCCAAAATAAGAATCTACTGAAGAGTGAAGAGAAAAGTTTTTATCAGTGCACGTCATTTGAATTTAGCTTGTCTTTGGGGTTGACAATTTATTGTATAGCCTGTATAATGCTACCTTATTTTACAGCTCATAAGGTGCTTTGTTACCTTTAATCCCTCATTAGGAGCCTAAAAGTTTGTTACTATTCATTACGTTCATTTGGAACGATTATGCAAGTGGCAGGGTTTGTATACAAACTTATTGTTAGACCTATGCAAATGCAAACGTGTTGCATGCATTGTCCTATAGATCATTGGCAACCATGGTTCAAAGTCACGGTCGCGGTCGCGGTCGCGGTCGTGGCCCGGAACGTTCGACATTGGTTTCGGCATATCAGTCGCGGTCTCGGTGAGACACAAATTTTAAAGTATTTAATATTCTAAAAATTGTTAATAATATAAAAAAGTATGCTAAATAAAAATAATTAAAAAATAGCAAAAGAAACGGCCAAGTCAATCCGTCGCGGTGTGACTCAGCTGATTTCTCGTCTTGACTCGTGATAACTCGGTGTGACTCGGCCGAGTCAATCCGTCATGGTGACGACTCGGCCGATTTCTCGGCGAGTCAAGTATTTCGGTATCGTTTTGTCACGGTATCGTATCGGTAGGGGCCGAGACGGTGACGACTCGGCCGAGACTTCGAACCATTTGGCAACAATAAGATATTACTGTTCTTTTCTTAATCTGATAAGGTACTCATGATAAATCTTGTAGAACACTCATGAAGAATCTTACTCCGTAGTCTGTACTAAGCATTAAACAAACACGTCAGCATCAAGTTATGGAAAAAATGCAGGTATCAGTAAACGAAGAAAAGTGAAACAACAGAACCTGCAATGATCTTCAGAAGGTGACTTTTCATTGTCAACAGAAATGATATTGCAATTCAACAAGATTTGATTTATTTAACCCCCATTCACATGGCGAAGGTCTATGGTGAGAACAATCAATTGCAACCTCTCATGTTTGATGGTTATGGTGCGGGGTAACAGGGAGTAGCAACGCAGTGTAGACTGGAGAGTCCACCATATATACTTCTGATTGAGCTTAATAGTCATCTCCCCACTTTACCAATCCTAAGATGAATAGGGAACTTAGTAACCTTCTGATTGTTTCCCATCTTCAAAGCCAAGCAGACGTAAATTCCTTAATCACATTCTCGTTGAGGAGATCTGTACCTTTCTCCAATTCCGTTTGATAAATATGCTGAACCCGATTTTGCATAAGCAAGAAAATCATCCAAACTCATCAATTTGTCAGTCATGAATCGAAATGGCCCTGTGTGCTTAGCTCCATCAACTGGGAAAAATGGAAATTCAATTCTCTCATACATGTCTTCATAGACTATGTTTCTGCTAGGGTGCCAGTAAGGCCAAGAATCAACAAAGTAAAACTTATTGAAAACTGCATCAACTCTAGCATTCACCTGTAGGGTAGTGTAGCACCATGCTGCTATAACTCCCCGTGGCTTTCAGATCCGATTGCACTTGCTGGTAAAAGTTGGGCCGATCAGACCAATGGATGGCTTGGCCAATAGTCACAAGGTCGACGGTGGCTCGTTTGGGGATATCCTTTTCCAGCTTTTCAGCAGACGTTGTTGGAGATGTACACTTGTATTGCACATTTGGGAGCCTAGGAACAAATTCAAGCTGCTTTTGGCTGGTAT